AGGGGCGTGGCCTTAGCCCCCACAGGGGAGGGGCGCGCCCTTTGACCACGCCCCCCACTGCAGCCCGCGCTCCCGGAGGGGCGTGGCCATCACCCCGGTCTGTGGCCACGCCCCATAGTGTCGTCTATGAAAGGGGGCGTGGCACATCGGTGACCAAGCCCCTCCCCTCGAGCAACCTCCGCGTGTGACACTGAGCGCCCCCTGGCGGCCGCTGCTCTGAGCTTGCCGTCCCCCTCCCGTGTCACCCGCGGGTGACACCGCGGACACGCGAGGGGGCTCAGGGGACCCCGTGGGGTGGGCGCTTACCGTGGGCGGGGGGCCGCTCGCCGTCGGGGGTGGCGGGGCCCGCGGGCGCGGCGGGCGGGGACAGGGCGGGGGGCGGTGGCGGCGCGGCGGGCGGGCTCTCGGCACTCCTCGGCGCGGGCAGCGGGTCCCGGCGGGCGCCCTCGGGGACACCGAGAGGGGGCTGCGGCGGCGGGGACACGCGGGCACGGTCAGCGTGGGCGGGGGACAGGGATGTACACGGGTGGGCAGAGGGGCAGGTATGCACACGTGTGTGCACGGGGGTGTGTGGATCAGGTGTGTGTGTAGATCAGGGGTGTGTGTGTGGACCAGGTATGTGGATCAGGGGTGTGTGTGTGGATCAGGGGTGTGTGGATCGGGCTGTGTGTGGATCAGGGGTGTGTGTGGATCAGGGTGGGCAGGGTGAGGTATGGGAGGCACGTGGGCATGCACATGCATGGCTGGAGGGTGCACATGTGTGCCTGGGTTTGGGCATGCACATGCACACACGTGTGTCATCAAGCACAGGTGTCTACACACAGGCACACGTGGTCTGGCACACACGTGTATGCAGACAGTGCACATGTGTGGGTGTGACAGGTGTGCACACACATGGAGTGGACACACATGTACACACACGTGTGCACACATGTATATGAGGGGGCAGGGGGTGCACACACACGTCAGCCATGAGGATCAAGCACAGGCACACACATGTGATGGATGAGGCCAACCTGTGCACATGTGCATGGAGCAGGTACACACATGCACAGCTCAGGTACACGCGTGCACACCTGCACATACGTGTGGATCATACATGTGCAGGGCTGGGGCCCACCCACCCCCCTGTGCCCAGCTGAGGTACACACGTGCATGTGCACACACACACGTGCACAATCACACCCCTGCACACCCACACACGTGTGCACACACACCTGCCTCCCCAAGCCCCCCTATTCCCGCTCCAGCATCCCCAGCCCTCCTCCCCTCCTGTCCCAGGGGGTTTGGTGGTCCCTCACCACGGGGGTTTGGGGGCTCCTCACTGTGAGGGTTTGGGGCGGGGAAGTTTGGGGGCCCCTCTCCGTGGAGGTTTGGCATGGGGAGGTTTTGTTTTGGGAGTCCCTCACTGTGGGTGTTTGGTTCAGGGGTGGGTCTGGGGACCCCTCCCCTGGGGGTTTGGTTCAGGGGTGGGTCTGGGGGTCCCTCACCGTGGGCCCGGCGGGCTGCAGCTGCAGGATGACGGCCGATGCGTGCTGGAACTTGCGGGGGGGAGCCGCGTGGCAGCCCCCGGGGTGCCCGTTGGGGGGGCCCCCCTCGCCCCCTGCTCCCTGCGGGACCCCCGCCTTGGGCTGGGGGGCAGGGCCGGGGCTGGCGGGGGGCAGGGGCTGCAGCTGGGGGGCACTGGGGGGGCCCGGGGGGGGCTGCCCACGGGGGCCCAGCGGCTGCTGCTGCTGCTGGATGACGAACTGCTGCTGTTGCTGCTGCTGCTGCTGCTGGGGCTGCACCGGCTTCGGGGGCTGCTGCAGGAACTGGGGGGGCTGCAGCGGGGCGTAGGCTGCGGGGACAGCAGGGGGGACAGGGACCCCCCCCTTGTCACTGCCACCTCAGCCCCAAGGGACCCTGACCCCCCACCCCCAGGGTCCTCCCGAGGTGCTGCTCGCTCTGGTGCCCACGACACCCCGCTGTGCCAGCGCCCGCCACCGCCGCTGCTGCGGGGGAAGTTGGGCTGCGGGTCCCACATTTTGGGAGCCCCACCAGCACAGCACCCCCAGGCTCCAGCACCACATGGCCCACGCCCTCACTGACCCAGCCCCCTGCACCCCTCTGCAGGGGCTCACCCCACAGACTCCAGGATCCTATGGGTGCTGAGAATGAGATCTCCCCACCCCACAGGACCCTGGCATCCTATGGGTCCTGAGACCCAACCTCCCGCACCCCACAGGCCCTGGGATTCTGTAGGTGCTGAGACCCAGCCCCCCACAATCCTATGGGTGCTGAGACCCTGCCCCAGGCAGGGCCCCTGACGAGGGGGGAAGGTCCCAAATCCAGGCAGGTGACAATCACTGGGTTCAGAGTGAATGCCCCACAGGCTGTGCCCACCCTGCCCTCGTGTCTGAACACCCAAAGCGGGGGTGATGTGCCCCCCAAACGGGTACCCAGGGGTGCTGGTCCCACAAATAGGCAAGAGAGCCATCCTTAGTATCAGTGCCCCCTCCCCCGGCCCAGCCCTTACCTGTGGTGACGAGCGGGTGGGCGGTGGTGGGGGCAGCACGGGCCAGGGGGTGGGCGCGGGCCTCGGGCCCCTCAGCCTTTTTGAGGTGCTCGGTGGGGGGCTCGGGTGGGGGACCCCGGGGGGGGCCGGCCCGGGGAGAGGCACCCCCAGGGGGCTTCATGGCCAGGGCGGGGAGGTGGGGGCCGGCGGGGCGCAGGGCCAGGCTGTGCACCTGCAACGGCAGCGGGTCAGGGCTCGGGGG